AGGTTATCCTGTTGCTCTCCTTGGTTCTCTTAGAGATGGTACTAATAAATTATAGATGTGTCTCCATCTGATGAAGTATAGTGTTTGTAGTTCTTAGATAGGATTTACAATATTAAAGAAACATATGCAAAGCTTAACTTATAGTGAAAATAGAAAAATTCAATTGTCTATCTTTTCTAAATGTAATAGAAGCTGAGAGTTCCCTTATGTTAATCCCCATTCACTCTTTTTGATCCACTTTGAAAAATAGGTGTTATTACGTTTGAACGGGTTAGTCATAGGGAGTGTTCCATATATTCTTAGAAATGATAAGATTGGCTTACAAGAAGTTGGGGTTCTTTTCGATCCACCCTGTGTTCTACAGCATTTCTTAGAATTTGATTGCAAAAAAGTACAACTAATTCATGAAAGTCATTGGGTGTTAGAGAATTGACAGAAATTCCATATTTGAATTCATATTTGATGTTACACTACTCCTGATCATTCGAAATAACTATTTTAAAGAACACTCTTAAAGATAATTAAGAGCAGATGAAAAGAGAGAGTTGTATGGTTGAATATTTTATGAAGATATTGTCGCTAAATAAAACTTTTGCGTCACGATTTGCCATATTGCGACATTTGGCTGGGTGAGTAGTAAACACCGTGGCTGTATATTCTCTATTCCTTTCAGTTGAGATGAAGATAAAGTCGACAGAAGAGGCACATCAATTAATATAACCCATTGTTCTCTAAAGACAATAAAACAGTATAATTATTAATAATTCCTAATTAACCAGGTGTTGTTGTTTCAATAAGAGGGTTGGTAATGGGGAACATTTGGTATAAATGGTCATATTTGTACTAAATGTCCCATTTGCAACCGCATCTTGAAACAACCACGCCTAGTTAATCTCCCCCCCGGAGATCAGGAAGTGGTTAAATAAACGTTAACACTATATAAGTTAATAAATACAGCAAATGGAACATGTCATCTGTTTTTTATATTTTTAGACGGTGGACTTTTCCACTCCCTGTATTCAGATTTGGGTAATATTTTATCTAATTACAATCCATTCAGCTATATAATTACCTACTAGTTTATGCTGTTATCAGTCAAAAAGAATAAAATACATAATTACACATACTTCAGCCCATTGTAATAAATATCTCTACTGCGGTTAATTTTAGCACAACGACCACTTGAAAAAAGTAACAAACAATGTGTTTTAATTTATTTTTAATTTTCTTTTTTTTTTTTGTCTTCTTTTTTTGTTCATTGAAAAACGTAATTCAATTTTCAACACACTCAGTCCACTCACTCACTCACTAACCCTTATCTTTGATAAGATAGAAGACAGGATATTATAAACACCGACATCTCCCACATCCAATAGAATCCAGGAGATAGCAGTAGAACTAATAGATAATACCTACACCCCAATAGTAATATATAGATAGATTTATTAGATATATCCTAACCATGTCGTCAATTGATCCAGAAACTCGTAGAAAATTATTAAGATTACAAAAAACCGGAGAAAACAAGAAATGTTTTGATTGTTCTGGTCATAATCCACAATGGGCCTCTCCAAAATTTGGTATTTTCATTTGTTTAGAATGTGCCGGTATTCATCGAGGATTAGGAGTTCATATTTCCTTCGTTAGATCAATAACCATGGATCAATTCAAACCTGATGAAACCCTAAGAATGGAAATTGGTGGTAATGAAAGATTAAAAAATTATTTTGCTTCAAATGGAGTTGATTTAACATTACCTGCAAAGGCGAAATATGATAATTATGTTGCCGAAGATTATAAGGAGATTTTGAGTTGTGAAGTTGAAGGGAGGGAGTTTGTGCCTAAAGATCATACTGGAAAGACTATCCCTACTGGACAAGAAGAATCTGCTAGAAGTTCAAGAGCATCCACTCCTGCTGGGTTTGGAAATGGTGGTGGTAGTAATCGTGCTACTCCTGTGCCATTAAATAATGATCAAAGAATAAAGAATGAATCTTATTTTGCTGATTTAGGGGCAAGAAATGAACAAAGACCAGAACATTTACCACCTTCTCAAGGTGGTAGATATGCTGGGTTTGGTAATACTCCTCCACCAAGACAAGGACAACAGCAAAACGGTGGATCTGCTGCTTCATCAGCGTTCACTTTAGATAGTCTTCAAACTGACCCCTTGGGGACATTGACTAAAGGATGGGGGTTATTTTCTTCATCAGTAGTTAAATCAGTTGCTGAAGTTAATGAATCAGTAATAAAACCAAGTTTAAATACTATTCAAACTAGTGATTTTGGTAATGAAGCAAAAAGAGCCATGGCCCAATTTGGACAAAAAATGCAAGAAACGGGGAAATATGGTCAAGAAACTTTTCAAACTTTTACCAAAGATATTAATGAACAAGGTTTGAATAAGACTATTGATTCTAGATTTGGTGGGTTGTTTGGAAGTGGAGGGGCTAATAGTAATGGTAGTGGTAGAGTTACACCTGCATTTGGATATTCTAAACCTCAAGAACATACAAGATATGAGCATTTATCTGGTGGACCAAAAGATGATGATGATAAGTGGGATGAGTCGTGGTAATGATGATGTCTTCTAAATTTTTTTTGTGTATCATATAAAATGTTCTATATATAAATTTATAAATAATATTAAACAAATCTACAAAAGAACTCGTAAATGCAAAACAGCGTTACTACGCTGATCATAGACAATCTCTATAGTCAATAGGGTGATGATTCCAGCTGCTGTCTAAAGAAACTTTTTCAACCACCTCTGTTTAGATGACTTCCTTTCTAATAAATATAATTGATATTCATCTTTGAATGATTTATAACTATAATAATAAGAATCCTATTGTATTTTCTTAAATTGTTAACCGGTTAGGTAGTGTTTAAGTTGGTTAGGTTGTTCTCTTGCCATTGAACTAACAACAAAAAACCCCAACCCCAACACAAACCCAATCATAATCCCAACCGCAACCTGAGGAATTGTATGATATAACAAATATACCCTCGAAAATGCCACCAGAACCATCGCTAACACCAACACCCCACACCCTCCCAATTTCCCAATCATTGATAAATGATCCACCTTAAACATAACAATACATATAAAATATGCGGCGAAAAATGCCATAAATTGAGAATGAGCCGATGGCATCCCATAGGTTAAACTATATGACCCAATTCCGAAATCTTTATGAAATTCAGGTCTAGGATGTTTGAATAATCGTTTAACTATCTTATTGGCAATTTCATTACATAAATGCCCACCCACTATTATTACTGGTTCGATTTCTCGGGTGATTAAGAACCAGGATGTGTAGAAGATCATTATGTAGATGGGTAATAATGATAGATGGACGCAGATTAGGGATAGTGGGTCTTGCGGGTCGTAGAGGACGTAGGTGTTGTCGAAGGGGACTGGTTTGTAGTTGGGGTATAATTTTGTCATATCGACTGTGGTGGTGTCGTTGAATAAATTCATGCTGATTTTTCTATTGATATGGGGGGATTTAGATTGGTTTAAATATTTTTGTAGTTTCCGGTCCTTTCTTTATTTCCCTGGGTATTAGTGAATGATAATTATGATTGGTCGTTGAAGGTTGTTCGTTGTTACATTTAAGAATTTATTTTAAGATTTTAATTAAATTTTTTTTTTTTTATAATTTACACTGGAAAAAAGAATAAACAATAGAAATTTTTACAATGAAATTTTAGGCTAAATCAATTTCTTTTTTTTTTTATTTATTTTTGGCAACCACATCTTGACTTACGCGTTCTTCTTCGATAGAGATTATTTTATGAGATCATCAATGGGTGCCGAAGTGTTTTCCTTCGATCTAATCATCTATTATTCTAATATCAAGCAAGACCCATAGGTGGAGGAGTACTCCGGCGTTTGATTTTTTAGGCGGCTGCCGAACTTCGCTTCTTTTCACCTGCACCACTCTTATACTATCTCTCTCACCAACCAACACAAAAAAAAGCCAATTGCAATTTGCAACAATTCCCTATCTCCCTCTTCCTGTCTCTCAAAGCTATCATCCCATAGACAGAAATATCCTGATTTTCCTCTAGGACATGCAGAAGGGCCCGGATATATATATACGACCACCATCTCTCGGACGATGGATCTGTGTCACTAATCTTACCCGATATTGCGTCTGCATGACTGTACTTAACATGGTTTGATTTGTTCAAACCTTTAATGAAAGAGCCTCTGCGCAAAAGTATGCATCTCTACGCAAGATATCGGAATTAAAAAGGGTTTTGTGTTGGGTCATTTATTTATAATTACAAAATGAATTCTATGCTGCAAGTTAATGTACGTAACTGTAAGAGAATTGTAATTCCAACTATTCTCTTATTAATTATAGTCTAGATTCATATAATTACAAAATGAATAATACTAATATTATAATTACATATTTATTAAATTTATATATGTATATATATAAAAGGAAAAACTCATCAACAAGAAAGGAGACATTAAAAAGGGGAGGCACATGGAAATCAATAAATATGTTGTTGTTGTGTATTAATTATAAATTTATATTATATAAATAATAAGATGGGAGGGTGAGGAGAATAAGAACGTTATAATCTGTATATATATATATGATAATGAAAAGATTGTGTGATATGTATGAATGAATAAATTAGAGGATGTGAGAGGAATATATTAGAGTATTGAATTGTTTCCGGGGTAGTTGTAGTTGTAGTTGGGAATCCGGTATGAATGAAGGGAATACTTTCTGTATTAGCAAAATCACAAATTAGCTTGTCTCTTTTGTTGATCTCTAGCCCATCTTGCTGCATCCTTAGTCTTATCATCAAACAATGGATTACTTCTTGTCTTTTTAATAAATTCAGTCACCCATTCTTGAGTATATACTTGTTTAAATTCCCCATTTGGATAAATCGCCGATATATCTCCCAATAACCCGGTGGCTGATCTTGCCACTGAATCAGTTGATGACATACTAATATCCAATGAAACCTTTTCCAAAAATTGGAAAATGGCCCCAATATATGGATATATATCTTGAGGTTGATCCGCCAAACCACCAATTATCCCCACAAAACAATCCAATGCCGATTCTTTAACATTGAATACATAATCTATAGTTTCGAGCGATGCATCAGTGGTTTCAATTTGAGAAGCTTGGATGGCGATTTGCATAACAAAGTCCAAATATGGTCTAAAATTGGATCCGATTGCCGTAGCTATATCTCCGAATGAAGATAAGATTGCTGGTCTTAATTCTCGTCTAACTTCAGCATTATTTAAATTCCCACCCAAGATATTCATAAGTCCTTCTAAATAAGGTAAGATTTGTAACCCCAAGGAATGACTTAAATCGGCAACTAATCCAATTGCGGTATTACAAGTTGGTGAATCGGTGTTTTGCAATGCTTTGGTTAAGTAAGGAACAAAGGCATCCATGTATTTAATAAATGATTCTCCAATTGCTCCTGCAACTGATGATATAGCAATGAAAATATCTTCTTCAATTAATGAATTTTGTTCTTGGGCTTCTAATAATTTAAGAAATCTATCCATTAAATTATCGGCAGCTAATGCAATATCTCCACCTAATCTTCTAATTACATTAGTTAATAATGCCAATATATTAGTTTGTAATTCTTCTAAATTCCCCCTATCTTCAGCCAGAGCAACTTGTGATTGCATCAAGATTGTTGATTCTAATCGGGATAAGACTTCTGTGGCAATACCTTGAACAATTGGCATAGTATCATTGGCACTATAGGTTACAAATGCCGAAAGAGCCTCATATGCCGAAGCCCTGGCACTGAATTCATTATCTGGACGACCAGATATTTGAATCAATACCGGAATAATTGATTCATAATATCCTGACATCACCGAGGTTTCTTTATTATAATTATCATTACATAATTGTTCCAATAAATTCATTAATGTCCAACAACAATTAGTCGAAACTTTTGGATGATCATGTAAACCAGCCAATAAGGCTTGAATCAATTGTGGTAATTCCTGTTGAATATCAATCGCTTCAACCACCATATCGGCAATTCTACCTAAACACCAAGCAACCGTTTCTTTAACTTGTAAAGTCTCATCAGTAATCAAACTAAGAATGGGAGGTAATGCTTGTCCAATCAAATTTCTTAATTCATCATGATCAGGCCCATCCAAAATCGATCCAAATGCCATCACGGCCGCTTCTCTGGCTCTCCAACTATCTTGATTGATTAAATTGGCAGCCACGAATTGTAATGTTGGTTGTACGACATAATTTCCAATATTCTGGGCGAATAATTGTAAACATGCCCCAGCAGCCATTGCCACTGACCAATCATCATCTTCAGGATCTTCATTTTGTCTCGTCAATAAGGTTAAAAGCGTAGGCAAGACATCTTGAGCAGCAACCAAGGCGAAATTATATGAGATTAATTCTGGAGTCAGGGCAGCATCTAATAAATCCAAACCTAATTCTTGTCTTTGTAATGCAATTTCCAATTCTTCTTCACAAACAGTTGACCAAAATTCAACAGCCATACATGCGACTTTTTCATCATCACTTTGCATTCCGGAAACAGTGAGGCCATATAAGGCTTTTTCCATATAGAGAGACATATAACGATAATAAAGGGACATTATTCTCGCAAGACATCCAAATGCACTAGCTTGTAATTCACTATCATCAGCTTGGGTGGCTTCACATACCACTTGCATGATATAATTTCTTTCCCCTTCAGTTTCGAAATTATATTTAATAAATTCCAATGAGATAACTAAAGCATTCAATGCCGTCAATCTGACGATTTTGGAAGGTTCATTAGCTTGAACACCTTGAACAATCGCAATTAAGATCCCACTGGCTTGAGAAACAATATTTGGATTGTTTGGATCGGCAGATTCACAAATATATCCAATTGTTAAATGTGATGCTTTTTTAAGATTTTCCGGGTTTTCAGTCTTGGTATTTTTGATAATTGTCGGAATCAATTCTGGCCATTCATTTCTAGGTAATTCGATATCAGCAATGGCAGCAACCAATTGAGCAGCAGTACCGGCAACTTTTTGATCTTGAATATTTAATCCTTGTATAGCAGTTTGTTTGATTTTTTGTTTAATTTCGCCATCCAATTTGATCCAACGTTCTTGTTGGCCTAATTTCACCTTGGGGTCTTTTGAAGTCAATTGATTCTTTAAACCAATCCCAGCCAACATTCTGACTTCGGTTTTGGCTTCTTCATTGATTAATGCATCTATTAAAAGGGTGATATATTCGGGGAAATGGTTATGAGCAGCTTCATTCAATTGGATTTCAGCTTGAGTTCTTTCATTTGGATCGGGGTTTAATAAGGCGTTTTCTAATGTTTGAAGGATATCCATTGGGTAGATGTGTATGTGTTATGTAATTGAGATATCTCTTTGACGCGATGAAAAAAGAGTGGTAGTATTAGTTTAAAGGTATTGAATGGGTTTATTGGTTTGACAACACACAACAAAAGCAATTCCAAAAAAAACCTGATGAAATTTTTTTTTTTTTTCTTCTGGTTCTAGAACAACTGCCAATTGATACAATAGAAATCTATTAAAAGAAACAGTAGTTCGATAGTTGTCTTTACTTCTTCTGTTGATTATATATCTATCTCTCTATAGTATATATACTGTAGATAGAGTAAGTTGAAAGTTGGGGGGATTGTTGTTGGTTTAAAGAGAGAAAAGAGAAAGCGGAATATGAAATCTGATTGACAGTGATAATTTTTTTCTGTTCTCTTCTTGTCTCTTCTTACTTTCTTCTTTTTGTTACTGTTACTACTGTAGTGTTGTACTGTGCAATTTATTTACACTAAGATAGAAAAAAAAAGTCGTGTTTGTGTTAAATTTAGAAGCCCTTCGTCAAACTTCTGATAAACATATTACATATAATGACACGTCTTTTACTAAAACCAAAAAAAATGTATTCATATGATACTTAGAGAGAATTTATTATATGTCTTGATATAAATCTAAAAAAGTTACTATTTTTGACTTACAATAGAATGTAAATCAGTCATAGTTTCATCCTTTTCAATTCCTTTAGGTGTAGTGAGATCTACTTGATGTTCTTCTAATGGCTCCTCTTCTTCTTCCACTTCCTCTTCATGCCCTTCCTCATCTCCACCTCTTCCATTCACTTCCTGCTCTTCCTTTTCTTGCTCTTCCTTTTCTTTCTCTTCCTTTTCTTTCTCTTCCTGCTCTTGCTGTTTCTTAGCTTTTGCCAATTCCAATTGTTTCAACAACGCCTTCTCCTTCGCCTTCAATTCAGCCGCCTTTCTTTCCAACATCGCAGCCCTATTAGCCAATTCTTTAGCACTTGCCATTTCCATTTCTTCTAATTTCTGTTGTCTTTCCAAAATTCGTTCATGTCTTATTACATAAGGTACCGTTTCTGATATTTGCCTTAATTGATTACGTTGAGGACCAATTGATAATCTCTTGAATGAATCAGTTGGGGTTCTTGATCTTTCTAATGAGAGGCTGGAGCCGGAGATTCCAAATGCCGGATGAGGTAATTTGGGCGATGATTGTGATTGTGGTGGGACGTCTTGTTCAGTATCATCTAATAACATTGATCTTTGTTTTCTGATGGAATGGGTTGAAGATGTGAATGAATGATTGTCAAATTCTTGATTGGTATTATTATCGGTTAATTGAGCTAAATTAGATAATGAAGGGATTGTATTATCCATCATACTAGATTGATGTTCAACAGTATCATGGAATTCACTGTCATCCTCTGTGGTTGCAGCAGCGCCTATTGAATCATCAAGAGCTCTAACACCGGTGACTTTGGTTAATCTTTCAGTTCTATAGGTTTCATATAAGAAATCATGAGTTAAATCTTTTAAATCTTGTAAATGAGATCCTAAAATAACTGATTTTAAAATCAGAAAATCACTATATTTGGTATCATTAATATCAACTAATCCCCAAGGATATTGTCTTGCTCTAATTGTTTTTGATTGACCCGTTGTGGGGTCATTAATTTCAAATGATTCTTCAGAAGTTATAATTGCAAATGGTTGTAAATTAGCTAAAAATTTCGATTCTTCAATTAAATCAAAATCTTCATCTTCATCATATTCATTTAAATAAGAATCAAATTGGAATGTTGGAACATTAAATTTTTCAATATCAATTCTAATTTGTTTTTTAAAATATGCTAATTCAGATTCAGTAAATGAATCAGCTTTACCAATTACTGGAATAATATTAACATATTTAGATAATCTTTTCATACATTGAATATCAATTTCTCTTAAACCATGTCCTGTTGGAGTAATAAAATATAACATAACATGAACTCTTGTATCAATAAATCTTGGATTTCTTTTAATTCTAGTTTCTTCAGCTAATACTAAATCAAATTGTTGTTTTAAATAATTTTCAATTTCAATAAAACATAATTCATTATTTAAATTCTCACCAAATCCAGGAGTATCTATAATATTTAAATATAATTTCATAACATCACCATCCATAATTTCAACTTCTGTTTCAGTCAATGCAATTCCTGGTTCTTCATGAATTGTTCTAGGATTAAATTCATTTCTAGTTAAGATTGAAGTATTTGGTAAAGCAACTGATTTGGCAGAAGTAAATGATAACACTTTGGTTTCTCCAACACAATTTTCCGTATTGGGATCATAACGATGATTTAATACTTTTTTATTTAATAATGAATTAATGAATGTGGTTTTACCAGTACCCAGTTCTCCTACTACCATGAATGTAAATTTAATTCCCTTTTTAGCATCCTTTCTGTAATTAATAATTGGTGAATGTCCAAGACTTAAACCATTGACACCTCCACCATTTCTTGATGGTGTAGTATACGTGTACAGACTACTCATTTTAAGTGTACTATTTTTTTTTATTGATTCTTCAAGTGTCCCTCTTAGAATGAGTGTGTGTTGGTAGTGATAGATGTAGGCTTGTGAATGTGTCTAAATTGATGTGTAATTGCCAACTTAAAGAAAACAAAATGCTGATTTGTTTATTTTCTACGAAATTTGTTGGAATTTAAGAAATTTTGATTTCCCACGAAAGAAAGAAAAAAAATAAAAAAACTTTTGTTGATATTTTTAAAAGATTCGTTAATTAAAATTTAATTTATCAGAGAGAATAGTAACCTAACAAACGATTTGCTCCATAAAATTATGTGTAGAGAGGGAGAGAGACAGGGCGGAAAGTGAATTGAGAGAATAAAACAATGAACAAAAACTTGCTCTTTTTATTGCTCTTTGTAATTTATTGTTTCTATTGTTACAATATGACTTTTCGTGAACACATAGCCGCGAGCTTTCAAAGAGAATATTACAATCATAACCACAGCTAATTTTGCAACACTCTAGGAATATTTTGAATAGATCAAACTACTCAATTGAAGTAAATTGTTCAGCTAGTACTGTTCCCTGTAGTTGTACCATATTTCTAGTGTGTCTCTATGGGCCGTGAAAGTGCTTTAAATATTTTGGATTTTACCTCTTAATAGACTATCAAGATGAAAAATTGTTATGTTTACTTTCTGTTTCTTTTGGCGAACAAATTCTGCTATAGAAAACACGAAATTTTTGCAACAACAAAATGCATCTACTTATAGACAAATATCTATCAGTCCAAACTCAAATGGTCAAGATTCTCTTATGGAGAGCTTTGAAAATCCATTCTTTCTGTTATTCATCTGTCTCTACAAAAGTGTAATTTTGCAACACCCTGCCTTGAAATATTTATTGCGACATATCTCGAATCCAATAACGACGACATTTCTCATTTCTGTGATTTATGTCGCCCTTATGTGGTAGCCAATTATTTTAAGGAGGGAACCAAATTTCCAAAATTTCCACTTCTTCATCCATACCATCCTTTACAATTATTATCCCCAAAATGATAAAAGCTGGATTTAAAACATTATCAGCCAAAGCAGCCGCCCAACTCGATGCCGAATTGATGTCAACCGGAGCATTCTCCATCGATCAATTAATGGAACTCGCCGGTCTCGCAGTTGCAAAAGCCATCTATCACCAATATCCCCCACCCCCACAACAGCAACCACCTTCCAAAGTATTAGTCCTCGTTGGTCCTGGGAACAATGGTGGGGACGGATTGGTCGCCGCCAGACACTTGAAGATATGGGGAGCATATGATCCTATATTATATTATCCCAAGAAATCTCCCAATAATCAATTATATTCAAACCTAATTAAACAACTACAAGATTTGGAAGTGGGCGAATTGGCGTCATTGGATGAAGTTATTGCATTACTTGAATCGAAATCTGGGGTGGGTTTGATTGTGGATTCATTGTTTGGATTTTCGTTCAGACCGCCGATTAGAGGAGAATTCCGCGATTTGATAAGTTATTTAAGTATAAATCACAATAAGATTGCTCCGGTTGTTTCGGTGGATATCCCATCTGGATGGGATGTGGATGAAGGTCCCACGGATGTTGACATAAATGCGTCAATGTTGATAAGTTTAACTGCACCAAAACCATGTGCGGCAAGATTTGTGGAGAGTGGACCGGGGAAGGTACATTATTTGGGTGGAAGGTTTATAAATCATGAAATTGCTAAGAAGTATGATATTATGGATATTATTCAAACTTATAAAAATGACGATCTAATTGTTAAATTATAATTAATAATACAGTTTTAAGAAAAGAAAGCGAGTTATTCTAATAAATATATAAATATATGACAATATGCTAATGGGTTTTGCTTCTACCTCCATTGATCTGGGGTTGGAAGTGAAGGAAGTCCTTTCTCATCTGGACTTGTAGATTGTTGTAGTTGTTGTGATTTGAATCGATTAATAAAAGACTGCGCTTTTTCTTTCATGATATCTTTCTCGATCTGTGGTCTAATATGGCTCACATAATACCCTATATCACTTTGAATTCTATTATTCTGAGGAGAAATTGATTCAGGATGATCCTTGTTTGGACTAGATTGGACGGAGAATTGGAGATTTGTATAATGGCCGAAATCACTTATGATTCTCTTTGTGGGGGATCTACCTCTTGGAAGATCTGTTCGCTGTACGAGTGGAATTGACAGGATTGGAAACAGGGTTTTAGGGGAATATCCAAAATCACTAACTGCTCGTTTTTGGAGTGATGTACTCCTTGGAGATTCTTGTTTCGATGTACTCAGCAGCATTGGGAACAGAGACTTTGGATGAAATTCAAAGTCATTTACTGTTCGAGTATGTTGAGATCCACTTGGAACCGCTTGTTCATTGTCTAACCTTTGAACAGGTCTGGAACTATTCTGTTGAGATTCACGATCAGCTGATTCAAATACTATTCTGTGAGGAGGTTCAACTATTTCAACCTTCTTCTTCTGGGGAGAAAATCCCAGTTTCAAGGATTCAACTTTCTTCATTATCGGAACAATCAAAGAAGACAGCGTGTTTCTATAAGATCCAAAATCACTCACCACTCTCTTCTGAGGTGATTTAATTGACCCCCCTCCTTTCGTAGGTTGCGGATTAGGTGGTATGTCCGGAAATTGTAATTGTGAAAGCGGACGATTTGTAACTGTAGGAAATCTACTATATTCATAATCTGAAGGTATGTCTAAACAAAAACTAAATGGCCCTTGTCTGACTTCTTGTCTAATCTTATCTCGTTCTTGAAAGACATCATAGCGTGAATGCCTCCTATTCAGTTCCAGGGATGTTGATTTGTTTATGTCTAAAGACGCTGGTCTTGGTTTTCCTGGAGGATATGTTTGTTGGATAATTTCTCTTTCTGGAGATGATTGAGATTTCTTTCCTCTAGTCTTGGGTAGAATACTAGGAACTTCAGGATATTCTTTTAGATCGATTTTTCTTCCCCCCTTATTAACCACCATACAAAGTTCTTCCGACGAAGGTTCTGAAAAAATACTATCATTCGAATTAGCATCATCATATTCTTGATATTCTTCAATTACGTCATAATCAAAGAATTCAATCTGTCGACTGGGAGAATCCACAGTCTGAACTCTTCGTTGTGCTTGATAGGGTATTGTCCCCATCTGGATATATGAATCAGCGGTTGAGATTGGAGTTATGTTATCTAAACCCAAACTTGAAGACCTGCGTTGGGCACTAAATGGTCTTCGTTGGGTGTTGACTTCAGAAGAACAATCTGAAGAATATGTAGAACTACTAAGTGATACTCTTGATGGTTTTGTAGATTGTAATTCTGAAATTCTTGGAATGGATTCAGTTGGGGAATTGAGATCCGATTGTGGATTCGGGTAACTTGAGACTCGTTGATGATAATACTTTGTCGCCAATATTCTTCTGGCATCTTCTTCGACTGAGGAATCGGAAATATGACTCGTTCTTTTGGTGGTTAATTCAGAAAGATTGGGAACTGGTGGTAGGTCCTTCTGGGGCCATACTGATGAAGCCGTCATCGTCATTGGAGATTGTCTTTCTGGGGAACTACTATTACTATTTGATTCACGTCGTTTCACAAATCTCCTTATACTGCCCGTGGCTTCATTGTAGATTGGTAGTTTTGCGGGTAGGTCTTTTGGATCGGTATGTCCTGGTTTGTATGTCTTGACAGCATGTGAGACATCGATATCATCTATTTGGGCTGGGATTATAGGTGGGAAATCATAAGATGTTAATCTCTGTGATGCCCGTTTACTCATTTGTATTTGGAGCTCTTGTTATTAAGGTTTTTGTTGGATGCAAAAAAATAGAACAATAATAAGGTTATGGTTTTATTATTTTTAAAGAGAATACAACAACATTATATACTTGTATCAGATAAGAATTTATTCAATTAAGAAGATGCAAGCGAATGATCCATGCTTTAATGCCTTATTGTTGAATATGGCTGGTAGATCAATATAGAACAAGTAGAAAATGAATTGCAACCAATTCTTTATTGTTCTGCTGGTGAATTGGCACCCAACAGAAGAAAAAAAAGTTCTATGATTAGCCAGCCATTTTTTTTGAAAGGAGATGAAATTGAAAATTAGTGGGGGAGCAGTGTGGGAAATTGGGTTGCCAAGAAGAGACATCTGATTAATTGCTGACAGGGAAAAGCGGTTAGTTGTCATTATTCATTCATTCTGATCAATCGTAAGTATTTGTCAACTGCCGTTTGGAAGAAAAGTTTAAAAATATTCTAAAACGGCTGGATTAAATCATTTTTGTGTGTGTTTCTTCTTGGTAATTTATAAGGAGTGACAGCAGCTGGTGTATGAATGATTTCATCATCACAAGAAATTACTGAGATTAAAAGAAAGCTTTGGAATGGGTCGGTTAATATTAAAGTAATATACCAATATGGTAATGACCATAATCAAAGAATTGATTATTTATTAAATTGTTATAGAAATTCATATTTTCCAATTTATTATCAACAATTGATTAAATATATTAATCATTATGGACAAGACTTACTGCAATTACCCATTTGGTTTGAATATGAAGGAGTACCAATCAAATGGAATCTCCCAATAGGCGTTTTGTATGATTACTTACATTTACCAGGTATTGATAGAAATAACAATCTGGAAAATGATGGAGTGTGGGAATTACACCTCAAGACAAGTGAATTCCCTACTGAATATATAATTCCATTTATTTATACCAATCCTGATCTGACAATAAATTATGAACGTTCCTTAAGTGAAGTTATAATGAATCAATTAAAGGAATCTTGTTTTGTAATAAATGGAAATGCAAAACCAATAATGAATTTAAGTGAAGATAATTCAAGATCATTACTTGCATCGATCTTAACTCATAACTTTGGTCAATTCACTACTATGAGCAAGAAAATCGTATCTAAAACAAAATTTGATAGAATTCCGCTAAAGATCTACATAGCTGGATCTCTATCAGTAATTCAAGCACCTATTGATGCAGCTGTGGAAGGTAAATCTGTTAGTTTGAGAGACGTTTTGGATGATCAATTGCCTAAATTATTTGGTACTTCCAAGATTGCTCGTCCATATATACATGGGATTGATGCGAGTGCAATTATGGGACTTCCTTTACAAGATATATGGCATTTATTTAAACATCTTGATAATTTTCTTTATGTTGTTGTCCTTGTGTCAAAGTAATACAGTTGTATATATTTTAATGTCTATCTAATTCCTAAATACCGCTTGTAACCAATTTCTATACATTTTCAATTGTTTCTTTCTATTCACCAATAATCTTCTATCTGTTCCAATCTTTTCTTCCTTAAAAGGTCCATTAGTACAGAATATCTCTCTTAATTCTTCTTCAGTAAAGAAATAAACTCGAGTCCCATCTCCTCTAATATAAAAATTATCATCAAGTAATCTTCCCTTCTTAAACCTTACTTGAGCCAAATCATATCTTCCATAATCTCTAAATAATATTTGTCCACCTGGTTTCAAAACTTTAGATAAATTATTAACAGCATGTATCCATTGATCTGGATGTAAGGCCAGAAATACAAATATCATAATCACTACATCTACCGAATTTGGTTCAAGATCTTCTGGGATTATTCCCTCAGGGTTGGCAAGATCCCATACTGAAGAATAAGCAATACCCTTGTCATGATTAGGTTGGAAATTTTCATTTGATTTAACTAAATCAACAGCAACTTTTGAATAATCACAAGCAAATATTTTCAAATTTTCATTCTTATTTTGATTTAAGATGGGGAAGAAAGTATTCCCAGCACCACACCCAATTTCTAAGATCGTAGTTGGTTCTTGATATTCTTCTTGGGTTACTTTAAATAATGATGGAAATTCAATTTCTAACCATTTTCTATCCTTAAAGAAATTTTCACGATTATGTTTATAAAAGATATCCCAAAATTTAGCAGGATTGGAATTATACATCTTCTTATCGAAATCTTTGACAGGATGATCATATTGTTTGGAGATCATTTCTTTGGCTTGATTAATTTGTTCTTCTCCCCATTCAACATGATCCCAAGCGTTATGATTGAAAACATCATCTTCATTCTCAAGATATCTTTGTCCAAATGTAAAAGGTGTATCTTTCCCTATTCTGGATTCTAAAGGAGGTTTACTCTCTTTTATTGGTTGATCTTGTGTCATGTCTTGTGTTGGTTATTGATAAGAAGAGAAGAAATGAGAGATGAAGATGAAGATTGTGAAATGAAAAAGAAATTTTTTAGATGTCGCGTTGCATTATGAATTTTTACGATGATGATGGGGGATTAAAAAATTATTTTCTATATTAAACTATAAAACTTAACAATCATGAAAGCATTACTACTAATTAACTAATATACACTCTATTACAATTTATTCATATAATGATCATCACCAGATAACTCTTGTAATCTGGCTGCGGCTTGCTCACTTGTCAAATCTCTTTGAGCTTCTCCCAACATTTCAAACCCAACACAGAATTTCTTAACAGTTGCTGATCTTAATAATGGAGGATAGAAATGCATATGGAACCAAGAACAATCTTTATGTTCTTTGGAACATTTGAGTGGAGCTTGATGTATACCCATAGAATATGGGAATGAGGTGTTAAACAAATTATCATATTTGGTTGTCAATACCTTTAAGATAGATGCTAAATCTTCTTTATGCTTATCATTGAAATCTTCAGTTGATCTTAAATGTTCTTTAGATATTAATAATGTTTCAAATGGCCATAATGCCCAATATGGAACAACTACCAAGAAGGAATCATTTTCAGCAACAATTCTTTCTTTCTCTTTTATTTCAAGTTCAACATAATCACCAAATAAATGTGTCTTGTTTGTGTTATAATATTCGGTCATATTTTGTAATTCTTCTTCAACTTCAGTTGGAACCATATCCAAACACCAAGCTTGACCATGAGGATGTGGATTAGAACAACCCATAGCAAATCCCTTATTTTCAAAGATTTGTAAATATTTATAAGGAGCAGAACCTTCAGTAGATTCAATCAACAAGCCTCGATATAATGATTGCCATGCATTAACAACATTAGTCAATTCTTCAATCGACATCAAAGGTAAAGTCAAATTATGTTTTGGACTAAAACAAAGAACAAAACATTTCCCTCTTGCACCTTCAGTCTTTAATAATCTCCCTTTCAACGAACTTTCAGGTTCCTTCTCAACATAATCTGGTTGCTCTAACTTAACAGCCGGATAATCATTTGTGAAAACAAAAGTAGCATCATATTTTGGATTAACATCACCAGTAGCTCTTATATTTCCAGGACAAAGATAACATTTTGGATCATATTCAGGTAAGGCAGTCTTCTTGATTTCTTCTTTAGCACCCTGCCATGGTCTCTTAGCTCTATGAGGAGAACATAATATGAATTTCTTCGTTAGTGGGTTAAAGCGGCGATGTGAATGATTGGTGAAATCAAATTCTTGAGTCATTTTTATATATGTTGGTGTTGATGTTATTGGATTTAACAAATGTTCCATCAGACCCATTTTGGAAACAGGGATCTCTTGGTCTTTATATAGAAAAAGGTTTTATGAAGTATGGAAGTATAAACTGACGTAATTTTTTGTAGCAAGAAACTCGTGGATAACTATATTTGTAAGATGATTTTTTAGTGGTTTCCCTAATTTTTTTTTTTTCTTTTTTGTTTTGATTGTTTGAATTGGATTTTTACATACAAATTTCAATACAACGTTGCAATTTTTTCTTGGGATTTGACAGAAATCAGACATTTTTTTCGGGAAAATTATAGATTTATTTTTTAAGATGTAATTTGAGTCATAAAATAATTTAAATTTTATGTCTGCATTCATTGTTCAATTGTTCAAATTTTTCCGGCATCCGTGGATCCAGAATTACACATAACCAAGTTTATTGAATTGACCTATAAGATTCAAGAGATCTTCGTATACGATCCTAAAATGCCGCTGCAACGTTGCAATCTCACGGGTTTTCCTAGAGAAATCTGGAGACGGTTTCACCCCTGAAAGGCGGCTTTTCTTATTTGTGAAGTGGCGTTTCTTTTTTGTGTGATACATTTCCGATGACCCTGTTATGAAATAATAATTATTCCGGGATCATAAGGTAAACTCACTGTCTTCCGAAAATACCGCCGTTCTACTGCTAAATTATGGAATGGGGGCTATGAGAGAGATTGCAACGTTGCAATTCTCGTGTCCAAAGTTTGAAGCTTAGAGATGAAAGCGAAAAGCTGTTCCGCAGCTTCATTAGATATTTTTTAACAGGCCCATTCGTAGATGAATTTCTCTTTAAAAAAAGTAATGATCAAAAATATCACTTTGCAGCTTTAGGTTAGGTTTTTATAAAAGGAATTCTACCAGTCATTCTATTTTGTTCTTATTCAATTACTCATTATCAAAGCAAAAATGACAGTTCATTTTGAGAAAAGAGTCTTAGTTACAGGTGGTGCAGGGTTTATAGGATCACATTTCCTTCATCGCTTTGTCCTTCAATATCCACAATATCACTTCACTTGTATAGACAAATTAAACTATGCAAGTAATTTCGAAAATATTTCCGATTTACAAAACTTAAACAATTTCAAATTCATAAAACTTGACTTGTCAGAATCTTTTGAACAATTGTATGAATTCCTAGTTACAAATTTCCATCAAACTGAAATCACCGAGTTTATAAACTTTGCAGCCGAATCATGTGTTGATAGATCCTTACGAGACCCATTATATTTCACCAGGAATAATATCCTAGCTACACAAAACTTATTAGAATGTTATAGAGCTCTTAGGAACAAATATAAAGATATTGACTTTCGTTTCATTCATATATCTACTGATGAAGTCTATGGAGATATTTCTATAAATACAACTGAAGATACCGTGCTATGTCCCACAAATCCATATGCTGCCACCAAGGCAGCACTTGATTTAATAATTAAATCCTATCAATATTCATTCAAATTACCAGTTACAATCTTGCGGCCGAATAATGTCTATGGACCTAATCAATATCCAGAAAAGATCATCCCGTTGATTATCAAATGTTTGAAAGAACAAACGCTTATACCAATCCATGGAGATGGTTCCAATAGAAGGCGGTACTTGTATATCCTGGACTTTTTGGATGCAATTGAGGTAGTATGGCACTCTATTAGACAAGATTCATTAGGAGAGACTTATAATATTGGTGGTTGTGATGAAATTGATAATATTTCCTTGGTGAAATTAATTTGTCAACGATATTTTAAGAACCCAAACGTCAATTTCACAAAGCATGTCCAGTTTGTCAAGGATAGGGGATATAATGATTCGGAATACTCGACGAATTCGGATAAATTAAAGGCATTGGATTGGGAACCGACAATAACATTAGATAAAGGTATAGACAAGATCTTGGAAAAAGAGTTTAAATAGTAATTAATAAATAAACATCTTATCCCATTAGTTCTCTAACTTTAGCATCGAATAATTGACTCTTAATTGGCATATCTAATGAATAAAATGGATCTTTCATGACATAATCAGAATAAATCATATACAATTGTCTAAAATATTCATGAGCAATATCATAATTCTTATTCAAATCTCCACTATGACCACCCTTTTTAGGATCTGTTGGATTTGTACCATTTGGACTTGTAATTGTTATAAATTTTAATCCAGTTACAGTTTGAAAAATATATAAATTAAACATATCCGTTTCAATACTTTGTAACCCTGATCTATTAGTATTTGGACTCTGTGCTTTTACGGTATTTATAATACTATAATTCTGATTCAGATTATATTCTTCTGTAGTTAATGCTTTATCCTTCCCATGAATTGTTGGAGTTAATCTTGATCCAATGGCATGAACTCCATGAAGTGTACCTGCCAATACAAGATAATCATTTGCTGTAAGTTTATTCAATCCTGAATTGATTTCATTTTGATAAATCAATCCACCTGCCTTATTAAGTATGAATACTGTATGTACCTTCATAATTGCTTTACTTTCTACCTCTATGAAGAAGAGATCTAATCCTTGAATGAAATTGTTGAATCCAAAAAAAATAGAACTCGGTTGAATTATTATTTCGCACCAAAAAAATCAAAAAAGAAAGCTTCCCCACCAGGAGTCGAACCTGGAATCTTCTGGTTCCAACCGAGAAGTGGTTACGAAATCGTAGCCAGACGCCTTGACCATTGGGCCATGAGGAACGAAGCCTTATTCAAAAAATTGCTTAATTTTTAGTCATTCTGTCAAATTAGATCACGTGATCAATTTTATTTTCGTCAATTACTTGTTAATGATAACCTTAGATATTCTAAAAGTCAATCTGATCGGTATGCCCAACCTTCAAAATTATGCACCATCTGTTGGGATTTGTAAACAGTTCTCAATTAAGATTTATCGTTGTTTTTAGTTTTTGACGTTTGGTAGCGACCTCAAATCGAAGGGGTCTAGACTTTGTATAACTTTAGTAAAATAGTTCATATCCAATTCTAACTCAATATATTTTAATATTGGGGTCTTTGTCTATGGTCCGGTTGTATTGGATATTGAGAAATGGTTGATTCGGAAAGAAATGAATGGTAATGAAAAGTTTGCAAAATTTTGGTCAATTTTTTTGATGAGTGTTTTTTTTTACATATACAATCTGTTTATTGAGTTCATATACATACTAACATACAGAAATATAACAAACAGAAAAACAATATACTTTAAAGGCAAAAAGCATCATTGCCTAAAACCTCATTTCAGAACCATCTTAGAGACTGAGTGTATAAGAATAATTATTAAGACTCTTGGAGGTGTACGATACCCATTTGCGAATGAATTGGACCGTGAGCTCAACGTTCCGGCCCCCTCCACGTCGAAATTTTTGAAACTTATAAAGGAGGGCGAGGTATCGATTTAGCTGCATTAATTGAAATGGTTGAAGGGAGGAATTGCAAATAAAGAGGCGTAGCCTCCTTGGTAGTGAGCGTGGACGGCAGAGTTGCCAAAGAATCTTAGTGTCAGAAATCCAAAATAATCACCAACATTTCGTGCATTATGAAGTAACGAATTAAACGAACGAAAAGTCTTTGAGTCAATAACGATCATTGAACAGTAAGAACGGGAGTTCTAACAGATTTCCAAGCAGGACATCTTGTGAAAAATGATCGTCCGAAACAGAAGATCAAAATTCTTGCCGACATTAAAGATTTCCCACAAGCATCATAATAACTCCACTTGAGAGTCCAATGTCTCGTTATTCTCTATTTAGAACAATAATCTTTCAACAGCAAGTGAACTATACATATTTAAAATAAAACTGCCTTCGAGATTACAAATTGAAAGAAAAATTTGCAGCCAAAAAAAAAGTCGAATCATTTTTTATTTTTCTATCTACGGTATCAAACGAGAGTAACTAACAAATCTAACTATATAGTATTTAATCCTTCTTGGCAAAACTGTACTTGATGGTAGTACCATAGACTTCACCCTTCTTTAAGATAACTTGGTCAGCCCATTCCTTATGGTTAATAGCATTAACAAATCTACTTGGTTCTAAACAGAAACCAGATCTCTTACCGAAACCCTTAGTATTAACACCATCACCAGTGTAGAATTGGAAAGCTGGTTCAGTAGAAGAAACAGTCAACTTAGTGGTAGTCTTTGGGTGAACACATTCGAAGTGAGCCTTTAATGGTAAAGATCTAGTATCAATACCACAACCAGCTTCATCACCAATGAAACAGTAGTCAAAGAAAGCATCCTTATCCATGACGATTGGTTTACCAACGGTAACCTTTTCGTTCTTGATGAAGTTACCGGTTGGAAGTAAGGACTTGGCATCGACTTCCATCATGATATCAGAAGCTAATTTGACTTCAGTACCGTCAGTGGTTTCATCACCAGTAATGTTGAAATAAGTGTGATTGGTCATGTTGACAATGGTGGCTTCACCGGATAATAATTTAGCTTCGTATTGGAATTCAAGAGAAGAATCATCAATGATGTATTTGACAATAGTTTCTAATTCACCTGGGAAACCATCATTACCGTCCTTGTCAACAATTAAGAATTCAACAGTGAAAGCACCATCTTTGAACTTAACAACTGGACCTAATAAGTTTTGTTTATCAAAACCATTGAAACCACCGTGTAAGTTGTTTGGGCCTTCATTGGTAGTTAACTGATATTTCTTACCGTTTAATTCAAACTTACCTTCAGCAATTCTGTTAGCATAACGACCAACAGTGGTACCGAAGTATGGATTACTAGCTAATTTGAAATCATCACCGTTGTCATAAGCCTTAACCAAGTGTTCACCGTTGAAAACGATATCTTGAATCAAAGCACCTCTGTTAGCTAAAGCAACAGTTAAGTTACCGTTCTTGAAGGTATGCAATCTGTTAGCTAAGTTACCATCACTTTCGAAAGTCTTCCAAGAGTAATTGGCAACGTTGAAACCATATGGGTTTTCAGTAGTCCATTTCCATAAATCTCTACAAGCATCATCAATGGTAAGTTCAGCCTTCCAGCCTAATTCTTCATTGGCTCTAGTTGGGACAGCAGTTAAATCTAAAACATCACCATCTCTTCTAGCGACAACTTCATAAGGTAATTCTTTACCAACAGCCTTGCAGAAAGCATTATAGACATCGAAAACAGTAGATCCTTTACCAGTACCTAAGTTCCATTCACGGTATAAACCTTGATCATTGAGTTTCTTTAAGTATGCTAAAGCAGCAATATGACCTTTTGCTAAATCAACAACGTGGATATAATCTCTGATTGGAGTACCATCATGACTATTATAATCATCACCGAAGACAGATAATTTTTCTCTTCTACCAACAGCAACTTGAGCCAAGTATGGTAATAAATTGTTTGGAACACCTAAAGGATCTTCACCTAATAAACCAGATGGATGAGCACCAATTGGGTTGAAATAACGTAAGACAGCGAATTTCCAAGAATCTGGTTGACTTTCATAAACATCTTTCAAAACAGTTTCAATAACAGCCTTGGTTCTTCCATATGGGTTAGTTGGATCTCTTGGACAGTGTTCTGGGATTGGAATCATGGAATTGTCACCAAATCTAGTAACATCACCATAAACAGTAGCAGATGAACTAAAGACAAGAGATTTAACACCATTGGCCTTACAAGCAGCCAATAAGTTAACAGTACCATTGACGTTATTGTAATAATATTCCAATGGGATCTTAGTGGATTCACCAACGGCCTTTAAAGCAGCAAAATGGATAACACCAGCAATTTTATATTGTTGGAAAACTTGGTTTAATTCTTCAGGCTTTCTGAGATCAGCATTAACAAATGGAACTGGTTGTTTAACAATGAATTCAATTCTGGCAACAGCATCATAACTGGAGTTACTTAAGTTATCAAGAATAACGACCTTGTAGCCGTTGTTGATAAGTTCGATAACAGTGTGGGATCCGATGTAGCCTGCTCCACCGGTAACTAAGATATATTCGTCTGACATGCTTGTTGTTGTCTGTTTGTTTGATTGTTTGGTTAATTCGAAAAGAACGAAAGAAAGGAGAATGAATTGGAGATTAAAAAATTTGCTTTTGCTTCGGTGTCATGAAATGTGGTGATCAATAGAAAACGGTTTCTCAAAGAAGAGGGGGTCAAAGCGATGCGAAAAATTTGGGGGGAAGGTAGTTCCAAATTAGTGGCGCATTAAAATTGCAACGTTACATTTGAAGACCCTGAAGAAAAAAAGCTAAATTTAAAAAAATCCTGGGGCGGATGGTTCTTGTCGAATGTAATCCGGAGAAACCTTATTTCTTGGATGGAGGGCAATCGATCGATCGGCAATAGACAATCCGTATGTCCCTTTCAATGGTTCTTTGTGTAAAACGTCATCAGACAAAAAATTTTGAATTTCATCTCCTGTTATTGTTTTGTATTTCTATTGTCCAGATAGGATGAAATATCGGAAAGATGTACATTTCTGGGTTTGAGAATGTCACGAGCTGGTCGAAACGTTGCCAGACGGTGCATAAAGGATGTCAGAATTGAGCAAGTCTGTCCCCTTTAACGTTGATTTGCCATAGGATTTGCAGCCAATTCATTAAAGTTTAGTACCCGGCTTTGCCGAAACCTTAAATTTTTAGAACTGTTCTAAATCTACCAATAATTTGGCTACTCCTTCGTTCATGAAAAGCAATCCACGAAGGCTCGTGGGGTGGTTCTATCATCCATAGACAACATATTATTATCCCGCAATCTTCGGAAAAATTCTTCCAGACAGTTTTCCTACAAAAAAATGTCAGATGTAAAAGAAAAGAAATTGTCTGGCATGATTTCGATGCAGACACAAAATCTGTCATCACGGAAAAAAATATTTTCTAGATTCTTTTTTTTTTTTTAACGCTGCCCACTTTTCCGACACTTTTTTCCAGCTGATCTCTCACCAAAAATGTCCCAAAAAATGCAACGTTGCAGTCATGTGGGGATTAGGGTGTGGCGAATGAGAAACTTCTCCTAATTATTTTTTAGCATGTTTTTATTTTGGAAAATGTCATAGAAAAAACCAAACGATGGTGAAAGAAAAGGTATAAAAACAATTCTATCGAAATGAAAAGTTCTTTTCTGAAACCTCCTTTTCAAATTATCTAATAACGTTTCCAAAAAATGTCTTCAGTAGTTCCTGTTTTTGAAGATTTATCCTTCTATTCTAATCCAAAAGGTCAAGAAGGTAGATATAATGAATTAACTTCCAAATTCAACCAATATTTCCCCGATGCCAAAATTGATTTCTTTTCTCGTTCTCCCGGGAGAGTAAATGTTATTGGTGATCACATTGATTATAATTTCTTCCCAGTATTACCTATGGCTATTGAAGTCGATGTGGTTGCTGCTGTTTCAATTAATGAATCAAATAAAATCAAAATCACCAATGTTGACAACGACGACTTCCCTGCTCAAACCATTGAAATCCCAGGTGATCCAAAACAGACCGTTTCAATTAGTCAAGAACATAGTTGGGGTAATTATTTCAAATGTGGTTTAATTGTTGCTCATAAATTCATGATGGAAAATAGAGGTTTGACTACCAGTTTGAAAGGAATGAATCTTACGTTTAGTGGTACTGTTCCAACCGGTGGAGGTTTATCTTCATCTGCTGCATTCTGTGTTGCTTCCACATTGGCCGTGTTATATGCGAATGGAGTCAAAGACATTACTAAATCCGATCTTACTAAGATCACGGTTGTTTCTGAACATTATGTCGGGGTTCAAACTGGTGGTATGGATCAATGTGCATCTGTATATGGTGAGAGTTCCAAGGCATTGCTTATTCAATTCAAGCCGGAATTAAAGGGTATTCCATTTGAATTCCCAGTTAAGGATTTAACTTTTGTTATTACTAATAGTTTACAAGTTGCTAATAAACATGAAACTGCTCCTATTCATTATAATTTACGTGTTGTTGAAATGGGTATTGCTTCTGATTTATTAGCTAAGAAACTTGGTCTTAGTGGATTACCACAAGATTCTAATGTTAAATCCAGTAGTTTAAGAGGAGTTATGGATGGGTATTATACTTCTGTTTTGAAGCAAGATGTTTGGGATGGTAACAATATTGAAATTGGTATTCAAAGATTGATCACTATGACTGAAAAAGTGGAACAAGAATTAACTAATCAAGTTGGATATAGTGTTGAAGAATGCTGTCAAGAATTAGGAATTTCCGAAGAAGAATTCAAAATCAAATATTTATCAATTTTCCCAGTTAGATTTGATAAGTTAAAACTTTATCAACGTGCCAAACATGTTTATAGAGAAAGTTTAAGAGTTTTAGAAACTCTTAGACTTTTGAAATCTAATATTACTGATCCAGTAGAATTCTTAAATCAATTTGGTAAATTGATGAATGAATCTCAATTAGATCTTGATGCTTTAAACAATTCTTCAAATGATAAACTTAATGAAATTTGTTCCATTGCTCTTGCTAATGGTGCTTATGGGTCTCGTATTACTGGTGCTGGTTGGGGTGGATCTCTTGTTCATTTAACTACTACTGATAAGGCTGAAACTTTGAAACAAGCCTTTATTGATCAATATTATAAGAAAGAATTCCCTGAAATTACTCAAGCTGAATTACTGGAAGCAATTATTGATAGTAAACCAGCAACTGGAAGTTGTGTTATTACAACAAAGTAAAATTAAGTTATGTGTTTCCGAATCTTAATGGATTTATGTTTAAAGTATATAGAAGCTTGTTTTTTTCTCATATAAAAACTAATAGAACGATGATTATTGTGTTCAACCAAGCTTTTCCCCCTTGTAGAAGTTCAATTGATTGTAAATATTCCACACTGGTCAACATCTTTTGATTAGAATCCATTTAACTTATTTTTCTGCACCGATAACTCCGCTAAATGTGTAGTAGTGGACAAGAAACGTAATCATATTCAATACTCTTTAGGCTTTTACTTCCCTATATATAAAAGTGGACATAACCCCCTTGATACAGGTAGATGTACATACCAAGGTCATGACTTTTCCCTTCCTCTACGATAATGCAGACCCCCCAAACTGGTCCGTTTAACCTAAAAGAGTGAAAAGGGATACAACGGGGGACTCAAACCCTTAGTCAATGGCACTTAACGTTTTCATGTAACACAATTGTTTTAGGGTCATACACATTTCTTGAAAAAGGGAGGGAGAGAAAGAGACAGAGATCAAAATTCGCAACTTAATTTTTTTCGATATCCCCACAGCAGACAATCAATTCAAAACCGGTTGCAAATTTATTCGGAGTGAATAGCCGAAACACCGTAGCCAAGCGTTGAACACAACTATCGGAACAAACCGAGGTTTGGTATAAGGCTAGGCAAGTGGAATGGATAAATACATAAGGCGATGGTTATACATATATCTATGTATCAGATACGTTTGTGGAGAGATTGAAGATCAGATGTGACAGAGTTACGTTTTCTCTGGGGAGCTAACAGAAGGGTATGGGTGTGTCAGGTTTGAAAGATATAAAATCCGGGCGGACTCCCCGTAAGGGAGGGAAAAAAACTAAATGGTACGGGGGGAAGTAGTGAACTATTCCGAAAAAATGTAATTTTAACACGGGGAGGAATGGCGGTATGGTACGAGGTTGCAGTAGAGACGTGGTGATGGTGGTGCTGCTGTTGGTGGAATCTCGTCATCAATTATGTAACCCAAAAAAGAAATTATTATTTTTTTTTAGTTGGGAAATAATCGTCAGATTTTTTTTTTGGTTTCTTGTGATTGTTGAAAGCCTTGTTGTAATAATGAGACTAAAAATATTTTTTTTGCCCAAGGTATTGATAATGGCATTCTCAGAAAAAAAAAACTCAGGTGAGACAACTTCCTTTTTTTCTTCCGGAAATGTAAATTTTAATGCGAGAGAAAAAGATTAAGTTTTCTTGAGTCACTCATTCCAAACTAACTTTGATTCCTAGAATTTCCGATACGCCGCACAATTTGTTAAATTGATGATTCTTTTCTAAAATTAAGTCCGAAAAAAATGATTGATCTACGTCATATTTTATTCTTACTAATCTGATGCCTTGACAGATATATCGCCGAAACAATCTTCATGGCTGAGCTGAAAATTTGTCAAATGGAAATAAATTGAACTTACTAATCAACAAGTCTTCTGCCAGCAAAGACCAACCCTGAAAGAAGAAGGGGGTTGAAAGTTAACAGTCAAAAGTTTAAAAAAAACTTAAGTCCCCCTACTGCTGATACTTATCGGAATAATTAGGAACAATCATAGAATTTATGCTGTCACTATAATTTTTTCTAAGAAATAAAATGGCTTGGGTTAGCTCATGAGCTGATTTTTCATTACCCAACTCATTTTTTCTTGGGTTTTTTTCTTAGCATAAATTCCGAAAAAAATATTCTTCCTTTTTTTTTTTTTTTTGCAAGGTGGTAGTAGTACTCTCCACATAAATTTGTATCGATGGTGTGGTAGAAATGTGGTGAAATACACAAAGAATTTGCACAAATGCTTGAGCGGAGAATGGTATTAGGTATCCAGAGGACTGGAGTACCAAATTGGTATTCTTCAATTCCTATTCTTATCTCATGGAATACTCCGGATGTTCTCCAGAAATTAAAAAGTAAGACGTCAAACATGAAAAGAATAAATAAAATAAAATATTTTTTAATGTGTGTTTCGTTTATTTTTATTATGTAAACTTTATTTTTTTAATTTAAAGTTTTAAGAAAGAAACAAAGAAAAAAAGGAAATTTAAAAAAGTAAAAATAATTATTTATAAATATATAAACCTCATAATCATAAAGGAATATAAAATAGACAAGATATGTCTAAAATGATTAACTTTAAATTTATATTTCCTATTTCCTTTTAACCAATTACTTTTAACAATTACACATACAACGATTACTATATAAACAATTAACTAACAATGACACTAGACATCTTACCATTACTTGATGTTCATCTGCAAATATCAAAACCTTATATCACCGAGACTCAACAACAACAACAAAAACAACATTTAATAAGACAAAGACAGAATCCTAATATGACATTGGATGGATATATGCTTAACCATGAACTTAGATTCATCAAGAAGATCGGTGCAGGTACATATGGGTTAATCTATTTAGTGGAAAATATTCATACTGGTAGAACATTTGCTGCAAAAATGTTATTAAAACAACCACCATTTAAACAAGGAGACCCTAAGGATTCTTCAGCTAATAAGAAAATCATTCAAAAGACTTTTTATTCATATTTCTTGGATCATCCATGTCCACAACCTAATCCAATTAGATTAGATTATATTCAACAACAAGGACATCAATGTCAATTCTTAATGGAAATCTCCTTACATTTAAAAGTACATCATCATCCAAATGTCATGTCAATTCATCAAGTGTTTGATTTGGATAATTTTGCAATTGTAATCTTATTAGATTATTTTGAACAAGGGGATTTATTTGGAAATATTATTGATAAACAAATTTTCCAAAATCATCCATATGATAAACAATTATTAATGAAGAATGCTATGTTACAATTAATCGATGCTGTTGAATATTGTCATCAAAATAGCGTATATCATTGTGATTTAAAACCCGAGAATATTATGCTTCGTTATAACCCCAACTACAAAAGACCAGCCAATTCACCCATAATTGATTATAATGAACTTCATTTAGTATTAATTGACTTTGGTCTTGCCATGTCATCTGATTTGATTTGTTGTAATGCATGTCGTGGCTCTTCATTCTATATGGCTCCTGAAAGAACAACCAATTTTAATACTCATAAGGTTGTTAGAAATTTAGTTGATATGTCACAATATCATTCAGTTGATGTTAATAATACTACTGTCAATGCATCTAATTGTAAATATTTACCTACATTAGCTGGAGATATTTGGTCATTAGGAGTTTTATTTATAAATATTACTTGTGCTAGAAATCCATGGCCAATTGCCTCATTTAATGATAATCATAATGATGTATTTACAAGTTATATTTTAAATAATAATAAGGATATCTTATCAGCAATATTACCAATTTCAAAGAGTTTCAATCGTTTATTAGATAGAATCTTCAAATTGAATCCAAATGATAGAATTTCATTACCAAGTTTATATCAAGAAGTTATTAGATGTGATTTCTTTAATGAAACCACCGAAGAAAAACAGACTCAAGAACGTCGTCGTCATAGTCATCATCATCACAGTGGTCACAACCACCACCACCATCATCATCACAGTAAAGTTGTTGAGCAACTTGAACAAATTAAACAACCACTGCGTAAGAGTAATCCACAATTATTCACTCCACCAGAAACAACCGGTTATAATTCATATGCAAGTGAAGATGAAAACAACATTGATGATCAATATTATACTAGTGAAAATCAATCACGACAACAACAACAGGTTGATATTCATAAGTATTATTATGAAGAAACAAAACAAACAAATTCATATACTACATTACATTCACATTTACCGAAATTCAATTTGGAAACTCCAAGTAATAGTATTGTATACTTGGAATAGAACAAGATTCACGATTTTTTTATGTATTTTTTTATTACGATTATTTAATGATTGGGATTTAACGAATTTATTATCAACAAGAGTTTGGGTTTTTTTATTATAGAGAGGTTACAATATAAAATGTTTTATTATATAAAAGTTTTGTTTAGGTTTATACAAAATTATACGGATATCTTTATTTGGGATTATTACATTACTTTCTTTCATTTGTAGATATTATAGAAACACATAATATCAACTCTTCTTTCTCGTATAACGAAACGTTTTCAACCATACTGGTAACTTCTTTATGATCTCTCTAAATATTTTTGACACCCCTAATTGAAATATTATGTAACACCGAGTCCTAGGAGTTTATGCATGAAGCGGACATAATTGCAAAAAAAATAAATGGGGCGGTTCTTAACTTCCGGTTTTGTACGAACGCGACACATTCCATTTTTATCTTGCATTAATAATTATTTTTTTTCTTTCCTCAACAGCATAAGATGAACTGATGTTTTATTTTTTGTTGGTCCATCAGTCAGTTATCATCGTTCTATTTTTTTTACTCAACATACTATCCTCATGCAATATCTTCACCCAGAAGTTTCATCATTGTATATCACCCGCACCCCCCAAGAACAATCGAGATACAAGAAGACATTCATAACCTGATTTCACTTGTATAAGAATATGTTACGGGATTTCCCGATATCCTCAGATCATTATCATCTCCTGATATTCCATGTGTGTAATTACAAACAATTAAACTTTTCGGGTGGAGAGAGAGAAATGTTTCTTCCCGTGGTCCGAATTATCTCTCTGAACAGTACGAGAAATTCAATCAATTATTTTTATATTGGTGCCTTAAATTACGCCTGATATCTTGCATTTCAATGATTTGGGCGATCGGCGATCGGCCGTCACACGCCGTCACACGAGGGACATGAGAGGCTTAAGGAGGGATCGGCAGGGAAATTAATGAATTAATTAATTCAGATCTGGATCGGTGAGATAAGTCAGTCATACTTTGTATTGTATTTCTCGTATATCCCTGGCTCTTGAATCTTGTATGAAATATGGAACTTGGATAAGCATGTTACAGTTTTGTTGGGAACCCCTGATTTTTGGGACGGATACAAAAATTAGTTGTCGTGGGATATTTCAATAGGGAAGTCAAACAGGACAGAGATGAAACTCTTTTTTTTTTTACATAATAGCGCTAAACTACGTACAATATAAAAAAGGCCATATAGAATGAAATTCGGTTTCGGATAATCTATTGCTTCCTTTTTACGTTGGTCTGTTATATGTCTTACCAATTACTTCATAAAAATATTTCAAAAGATTTTGAAATTTTCGTGACGGCATTTGACAGTACATTTCCGATGCATACAAAATAAATTACTGCAAAAAAAGTGACGTTTCTTATTACACTGTCATCCAAAAAAAAAAATCTGATAATAAGCCCCCCACATGAAAAGCCGTGTCTGGAATAATGATCTGTACCTTCTGGAATAATTTTAAAAAAAATAATACTCGATCTCCTTCTCCAATAATAACCGTTCTCCCCACAATTCAAGTTTCAAAAATGTAAATGACTGTTCTATTATTGTGTCTATTTTGTGGGGAATTGGATTAACCGTATATCCCAAGAGTCGTGAAACTTGGTTTAGACTCTTCAGTTGTTGTTTCGAGACATTGATTTAGAGGGTAGACAATTTATCCCAGGGCCAAAACTCCTCGGAGTCTCCAAAAACTACACAAAGCGTATCCTCGGGCATTACGTGCGACTCGTACTCTATGGAGTGATACACCGGCTAGGATCATCAAGCTGGCTATCCCGCTTATATCAGTGGCACGGTATTGTGTTGCTGCTGTGTCTCCTGCGGTCTGCAGTGACTGTCCATTCGTGGTCGCTCCTATCTAGACTTGAACTTGTGTGAGAACTGAATAGAATATATTCTATGATTCTACTAACAAAATATGTCTAATTCCTTTAACAATGAATCGTGGCTGTCCATTCGTGGTCGCTTCTATATAGACTTGAACTAGAGTGAAACTGAACATAATATATTCTATGATTCTACTAACAAAATATGTCTAATTCCTTTAACAATGAACCACACTTACTGTTAGTAAAGTATCCCCAAACTAAGAAAAAGCAAAAAGAATGGTAAATCTAAACATCTTATTTATTATTATTTATATGTAAACATTGTATTATACAAAAGTAATATTATATATATATTTATATTCATTAAAAGGAAACAATCATTATCACGTAAACCAACAAAGCATATAGACTCTGCTTTAAGGTTAAACCTTCTCTTCGGAATTAGTATCCATTAAACCTTCACCATCTTCTTTATGTTGAACACTTAACTTTCTAGCTAATTCAGCTTCTGAAGCAATAGGAATATGTGGTATCCAAGAAGCAGATCTCCAAGCTGGAACGTTTTCATCCCACATTTGTCCGATTTCTTCCAAACGTTTACCTCTAGTTTCTGGGAATCCGACAAATACATGAACTGCCATAACAATACAGAAAACACCATAAATAATATAAGTTCTCCAAGAAATGTTTTGGAAACCTGATGGAGTATACATAGCAATAGCAAAGTTAATAATCCAATTAGCTGAAGTAGAAATAGCATTACCTCTTTGAGAAATACGGTTATCACCCCAGATTTCAGAACAGTAGACCCAGATACCAACACCCCAAGTAGAAGCGAAGGAACAGACAAACAAATAACAACAAGCAATAACACCTCTGGAAGCAGACTTGTTTTCTTCTGGGATTCTAATATTAACCGCTTCATTTCCACTGTCAGCCCATGGAACAGAATAAGTAGCTAAGATACCTGCAACACCGAATTGGAAAATCATCATCATAACGGCACCTCCCATTAATAATGGTCTTCTACCAACCTTATCAAAGAAATATAATGCTGGAACAGTACAGATAGTGTTTAAAACATATTGAATTGAAGAAGCAACTAAATTGGCATTACCGGAATAACCAGCCATTTGGAAAATATAAACAATATAATACATCATAACATTCATACCAGTCAATTGTTGCCAAATTTGAGCAAACATAGCGGTGAAAGTTCTTCTAATATACTTCTTTCTAAATAAAGTAGCATAACCAATATTAGCAGCAGCAGCATCAATTAAAAGTTGTTCTTTAATTTCAGCAATTTCAATCATAACATCTGGATCTTCTTTGTTACCTTTAGCTTGAATCTTAGAAACAATATATTCAACTTCATCCCAAGCACCTTGTTTAGCTAACCAACGTGGAGATTCTGGAATAATGAAACAACCAAAGAATAAAACTAAACCTGGGACAATTTGTAAACCCCAAGCAATTCTAAATGAAGCAGTACCATCAATGTGACCTAAACCATAAGAAAGATAGAACATAATTAAAATACCTAAAGTAACTGAAAATTGGAAAAGTCCACCAATTAAACCTCTAATCTTTCTTGGAGCCAATTCAGCACCATAAATAGGAGCAACAGAAGAACCAAAACCAACACCAAGACCAGAAATAAGACGACCAATAATTAATTGGGCTCTATTTTGAGATGATGATTGAATAGCAGCACCAACCATCCAGAAAAATGCACAAATCAATAAAGATAATCTTCTACCAAATGGTTCAGAAACAAATGAAGATGCAATGGAACCAAAGAATGAACCTAAAGCCATACAAGAAGTAATGAAACCTTGAATATCTGATCCTGGATTATCAAAGAATCTCTTATATGAATCAGTACCAATAAAAGCTGACATGGAAGAAATATCAAAACCGAACATCATACCAGCGATGGTAGAAAACATAGCAATGAAATAAACATTATAAATCTTTGGAAGTTTATCTAAACCTCCCCTAACCTTCAAAGCGGGTTTGGAAAACGCTCTTTCAATTTTTGATGACATAATAAAACTTGAGCTTGTAAAGTCTCTGATGATATAAGAAAACCCAAATCGACTTCATCATAAAAAGTGGAATCTATCGACCTTTTATACTGCAAAATTTTTTTTAAAATTATTATTGGCAAGGCCAAAAGCCAGCGGAGAATTCTGCGTCAATCCCCCCATAGTTGTCCCGGATGGGGGAATAATTCTCATATTTGCTTAATAATTTATTCCTTTTTGTGCATCATATTTCCACCAGACAGAAAATAATATATTTTGTGTGGTGGGGGCTAGTAACAATTATTTTTTTAGCAGCCAAGAAACAATGGGAAGTTTGGATCTTTCGGATAATTTGAGATGGTCACCAAAAAAAAGCAACACGCCAGATCTTACAAAAAATTTTTTTTGTTTCTTTCTACCCTTAATACTGTACGGCCAGCTTTTCTTTTCCGAGAGTATCTCAAAAGCCCAACTCAGTAAAAATGGGGCATTTTTCCTAGCGGTGAAGGTCCAATCAGCTTACTTTTTTTTGCATGAGCCCACTCTTCCACGGATTGGAATTATATTATTCCGAAGTGAAGATAAATTTATCCGGTGTACATGTTCTATTTAAAGAATATCTATCATTTGCATTAGAATTTTCACCTATTGACCCCCATCAAATGTACCCCATATGACATCAAGGTCACAATTGAACCGGGTAGAGTTCCGAAATGGGGATTGCATAAACAACTAAACTAATTTTGTATTTCAATGATCTATTGAAATTACATATAGCTCTTCATAAAAAATATTTTTTCTTCTGGAGAAAGAAAAAAAGTGTCTGAAAAATTTATCCGAATGATTTTTTTTCTCGATCGGGATTATTATTGTTGTTAGGTTTTCTTTTACAATTTTTGAGATTTTACTTGTTCCTAGTTCCTTTTTTTAAGACGTATCATCAGATCTTGACAGATCTCTCTAAGCCAATAGGTTCCTGGATGTTAAAAAAGAAATCACGTCCACTCCCGAGAAATGAGATCTAACTACAAGATTGGCCTTCACGGTCGTTTCCTTCAATTCCAAAAGGAAAAAGCAGTCACGGATTAAGTTGCGACCGTGGCTTACTACCACAATTGTTATTGTAACATCTCAAATTGTGACGAGCTCATACAAAAAATCAAATGTCAAAAATTAGTAAGAGAGATATTTTTTATGCAGACATTTTTTTTATTCCTCTCCTCACCTGTTTCGGATAATAATCGCGCATATCCAAAATTTCTGTCATTCAAGTCACCGATATTTTCAATTATATGACCACTTTCTAAACTGGTGATTAAATTCTTAATTTCATTGTCTGTAAATTAGTTTAAATTAATCTAAGCTATTTCGTTTGAATTTGATGTCATAAATAGGGTGATGATGTAAGGGTCGGCACGATTACTTTCTCCTGTCGTGTCATTTTCTCGGAAAATTTTTTCCTGGCCAAACGGCACTAAATGTTCTGACACAAGAACGTTGTTTTTCCTGTTTTGTGTCACCCTGAAATTTTAGAAATTTGTGTCTGGGATATTTTTTTGGATTGTTTTAGAACCATACGCTGGGAATGAAAGCTGACAAAATTAATGTCTGATTGGCTGTTGGTGATCCCCCACTCCGCATGTCACCAAAAGCTCGGACACGGATCGAAATGTTTTGAATCTTGATTGTTGATGTTTTTTTAATAGATCCATGCTCGACATTAATCTTGTAACCCTCGCTAAGACAACCTTGACATGATCTAAAATCGGTTAGTGGGTCGCTTCTTCAAGTTTAAGCTTTAGTTCAGCGCAATGCAACGTTGCATTTTTTTGCCACTTTTTTTCATGAAAATTAAAGCCGTAAAAAATATCTGGAGATTCAATAAAGTACAAAATCATTATATCTAATTGAAGACAAAGAACCCCTTGTGGAGTCATGTGGTGTCTCCCATAATTCCCGCATGTGCATCCCTTAGATCTTTTTATCACTTTGATTTGTAAGCTTTAGCCACCCGCCTCCACTTCATTGTCTCTTTGTTCACAGTTAGCAACCATATTCTTCGCAAAGATTCGCTTTGTCAAATCTTGGGGTGAGTTAATTATCTAATTTATTGTTGCGAAATGTGTGAATTTCTCTCAATTAGTGGTTAAACAATTACCCATGAAATTGATTTTAACAATGGGGTCTAGCGTTTTTGCTGGGAAACTTGGGTGAAACGTTCCATTTCCTGAGTCCAAAGTCACTGAAACGTTCCATTTTTTGGAGCTTCCTTCAAGGAGTTACTCCGCTTTTTGATTATAATTGAACCAGTGTTCCCTTTTTGTTGGGTGGTTTAAAAATTTTTGATGCAAAACAGATTTTTACATCTTCCCGAAAATATTAACGAACAAATATTTTTCGCCTAGGTTTTTCCGGGGTTTTGTAACGTTGCATTCAACAGCTCCTTACTACTGAACACCATACAGAAAACCAAAAAAAAGGACTTTATTAAATTGCTTAAAACACTTCTACTTTCACTCTAATCTTCCAAGGAGATTTATCCCATCCTAGATAGTAACAGCTTTGGAATGGTCTTCATAGTCTAAATATGCCTATAATCAGTTACGTAAATCCTTTTGCTGACCAATTCTCCTGCATATTGTCCAAATTTCATTAAGTATGAAAAAAAATTCCCACGATGAGTTCCAGATAAACAAACTCACTTTTTCATTCATGATCATGTCAGTTAGTAAAAAGATAAAATTAGACAAGATGGTTAAGATATGTACTCACTCCGGTTCATTCCATGCCGATGAATCACTTGCTGTTTATTTATTAAGATTATTACCAAAGTACAATCAAGCTGAATTGGTTCGTTCAAGAAATCCAGCTGATTGGGAAGCCAGTGATATTGTAGTTGATGTAAGTGGTAAATACGACGGTATTAAATATTTTGATCATCATCAACGTGAATTTAATACCACTTTCAATGGAAATTATAAGACTAAGTTATCCTCTGCAGGATTGGTATATAAGCATTTTGGTAGAGATATTATCAAGGAAGTGTTAAAATTGACCAATGAAAATGATGTCGAATTCTTATATGATAAGATGTATAAAGAATTTATCGAATCACTTGATGCTAATGACAATGGTATTAGTAACTATCCAAAAGATGTTTCTCCTAAATTTTCTGATAAGAATATAACATTACCGGCTATGGTCTCTCGTTTAAACCCATCCTGGAATGAAAGTTGTACTGACGCCGACTTTGATCGTCAATTCTTAAAGAGTTGTGAATTGATGGGTTCTGTATTTGTATCTATCTTAGAAGGATATGGTAAGAGTTGGTTGCCTGCTAAATCTATTGTTCAAGAAGCTTTTGACAAACGTTTTGATGTTGACGCATCTGGTGAGATCTTAGTCTTAACCCAATTCTGCCCTTGGAAGGAACATTTATATGCCATTGAAAAGGAAAACAACGCTGAAGGAGTTACCAAGTTTGTATTATTCAAGGATTCTACCGATAAATGGAGAGTTTCTACTGTTTCTGTTACCTCATCATCTTTTGAATTTAGATTAGGTCTTCCAGAAGAATTAAGAGGATTAAGAGATGAAGAATTAAGCCAAAAGAGTGGTGTTGCGGGTTGTATCTTCATTCATGCTGCAGGATTCATTGGAGGTGCCAACTCCGAAGAAGGTGTCTTGAAATTAGCAAGAATGTCATTGGAAAAGAAATAAGCTTAGTCTCTGATGAACATTAGATAGTGTAATATATAGGTATATACATAATGAACCCTGGTAGCGTGCTAATAAGGGCTTTCCGGTTATCAAATGCTACGACGCAAGACAAATTTGTATAGTTTTCCTTGTCTTATTAAGATAAAGCCGTATAACTATTACTCTGTAAGATGACCCCTGTCCTTTCAGGAATATGGTTTTCACGGAGATTGATTGTTTCTTTAGGGTCTGTTAAAATCTTTTCCGAGTGGAAATAGAATGTACCTCGTCGGATTTCTCTATTCACAATTGCAATACGATTTGGAAATTTATTCCAACAAATTCCTCTTTACCGATTAAGAGCGCTGAATATTATAATAGACATCGTAAAAGTATATTGGTATTTTCGGTTGTACGCTATCTGTTACCGCGGGAAGTCATTCTGTATGTAGCTTTCACCTATAAGATCATATGCACTCTCCCATCAAGGGTTTGTAAGTCTGAGAGTTCCCAGTCCATCATCCTGCGCTGCTTGGTATGTGTCTCCCTATAGGAATACATTTTTGTGGTTGCTTGAACCGTCCTGGAAGGAGACCCTCCAACTCTCTAATGCAAAGCTCTAAGTTAATATATCCGACGAATTACTGGCCATCGGGTCATACCCTCTTAATTTTCTCTCTCGTGGAATACGGAACGGTGAAGTCGTGTATTTGTCTTTCAATATATCAAAAACCCTGGTCCTCAAAGTGGGGTCTAGGTTGTAATACATGTGTCAAGCTCATCTCCGTTTGGTAGCACCGCGGCCTGAACAAATGCAGTGTAGCGACCCGTTATCCTTAATTGACCGCTGAATCTCAAGTTACCTGCATATTGTTGTACCAACCCACAACGCTGTTAGCTTTCTCTTTTCAAAAATATTCTGGTCTCTCACAGAGATACAAATTATTAAGTTAAGTAGTGGATTCAAAGGGAAATATAATGAAGAATGGATTCTATACATTTTTTTTCTCTTATAACATTAAGGAAAATCTACAAAGTATTTAAAAACCTACATAGAAAACGCCCCTGCTTTCTTAGTTAGACTAAGAAGGAATATCAGCGTAGGCGTAATTTAGAAAAATCGTTTTTGTTTGATTTTTTCTTTTACAAAAATGGTTCAAACTTTATTTTTAATACAAACTATATATACACTCCTACATATAGAAATTTTATTTTTTTTTTTTCTTATATCTTTTAGTTTGTATGTCTGGATGTTTCCCTCTTGTTCCAATTGGTAGCATCGTCCGGAAAACCGCGTTGTTTCATGATTACGTAAACTGAATAATTTTGCATATTTCTACTTCATCTATAAAGACTCATCCTGTCTAATAAGACCAACGGTATAAGAAGATCAAGAAGAATAAAACATATAAAAGTATCTCAATACTCAATCTTGTGTATTTAAGTCTGGTATTTTGTACATGACAACTGAAGATGTCAAGCATTGAATCAAGTTTTTCATCTTTCGTATAAAGTGACTGTAATGCGGCTGAGTATCATGTTTATATCGTTCCATGTGATGCAAGAAGAAGTATGAATCTGTACACCTATCTTCATGGAACAGCCATAAACATACATATATGTAGAAAAAAGGTTTCATTGGATATATATTGTTTCATATTTTATAAAACCGAGTAAGAATTTTCTAAGATCTAATAATCCTAAGAAATTAATTTGATTGAGAGTGTAAAATAAGAAGGGGGGATAGTCCAAAAGGAATCAAGAGCTAGTATGATTGAATATTCTTTATAGATTTTCACGTGCTTTACAATCTGTTACTTAATTTATTCTTAATTGTAAATTGAATGAATGAGGTAACGCGCAATTTCTTTGATCATGAATGAATCAGTGTTATTTACGAATTTGTAGGTAGTATTGTGTTGAGTTTGCAGGAGTAATCCTGCATACAAAATATTCTTCGTGAGTAAGAATCTACGCGAGTTCGCACTCTAAGAAGAATTTAGTTAAAAAGGCAAATTCACGGAATTTGCCCATAGTAATTAG